AATCAGTTGAGGAAACGGCCGTATGTGTTGAAGTAAATATGTCTGTAACTAGAGGACCTTAGTGGGAGTGGCCTGCGGTGCTGTGCATTCTGGGAGTTGGTGTCTTTCATCCACATGATCCAAAAAGACCACTTTCTGCCTTTTCTCGTCAAGAAGGCACCAACTTCAAAATGTATTTCACATTTCTACTACATATATGACCCAATATCAATACAGATTTCAACGGGTGAAGTATCCCTTTAAAAGGACAGTTCAGATTTTTCAAGCATTTTTAAAAGTGGTACTTTCCAACAATATTCAGCGTGAGGATGGTGGTCATCACAAAACTCCTCCTGTTCAGATAGCGTAATGTGTCCCACATTAAAAGACCACATGGTAATTGTTGATGTCAAAAGAAGAAATGACTGATGAGTTCATGAGAGTTCCACCCACCTCCAGAGTGAAGGACAGCACCACGTCAGACTTGGACAGCGTGTTCTCGTCCTCCTGCCCCATGTCCATGATGGAGGCGTTGTGGCCTCGTTTCAGCTTCTGCAGCTTGAACTCTCCTCCTTTGGACACCGGCATGCTCTCCAGGTTGGCCATCAGCAGGTTGACGGAGGACCGCAGCTCCTCGATGAACATGGCCTCCATCTCTCTGGATGAGAACCGCGGAAACCTCCCGCCATACTGAGAATAACAGGAACCAATACTCTGATTAGGTTCTAGGTGTTCAGTTTTCATGAATCATTGATGTAGTAAAAGTTAGTTTAGTCGATGCATCAATCTCTACATCCGTCCTGGTTCCTTACCCGTGCAATCTGGTCGGCCATTTGCAAACGTCCGTCCAGCTCTCTTCTGATCTGGGCCGCCTGCTCATCGGGGTTATCCAGCTGAGGAAACACAGAGAGACAGACAGACTGTTACAAATACAAACCCACAAAGAAGTAAACTAGGCAGAGACTCCATCAGGATCCATCAGTCAGCTGTTTCTGCAACCTTTGCAAACTTTAGTGAGTTTTCTGCATAGACTGTAAATATGAATGAGTGACGTCAGCCATCTGATCCTGCAGGGGGGGCTCCGGAGGCTCATCGGCAGCAGCAGCCACCATGTTGAGAATCTAAGGTTTCCAACCAGCACTAGGTCATGTTTTTGTGTTTTTGCATTTCTTATTTCCTTGTTTATTTTGTGTTTTTGTATTCACCCTTGACTCTGTCTTTTAGATCCTGCTCCTCATGTTCCTGCCTTGTGTGTCAGCCTCGCTCTGATTACCCTCACCTGTGTCTCGTCCCTGATTGTCTGTGTTTTTAATCCCAGTGTGTTCGCCCTCTTGGTGCCAGTTCGTAGTGTTTCCTAGTGTACCTTTGTCCCAGAAATGTGTATTTACAGTAGCTCCCTGTGCATGATTCTCACCTGCCTTTTGAACCATGCCTCTTGCCTAACCCTCTGAATTTGTTGTTTATTTGCCAACCTGTGTACCCAACTCCTGCCTGGATTAAAGAACTGTCTTTTGAAGGCGCCCTCTGAGTCTGCAACCTAACGACAGGCAGAGAGCTGGAGCTGAGGCGGGTTTCAATGCTGCATTCAAGTGCTGCTCGGTTGTTCCAATTTTCCGAGTTGAGAAGTCGTTCTTCCGACTTCATTTTAACATATTTTGCCCCCCATTTGATGACGATTCTGATGTCAAGTCGGGAAGTCGGGGACTTATACTTTTCCCAATTTCTGAGTTATTGTTCCGACTCGTTCATGTGGATTTTACAACTCGGAGACCCATTTTTCCGATGTGTCCGTTACCACATGAATGCAGCATAAATCCTCTGGATAAAAATGAAGAGGATTTCCATCAAGTGCTGACACTCAACTGGACAACAGGACTGAGTTACAGTTCAGCATAGTATCCAGTGGGGGATATTATTTCTACTGTTTGTCAATAAATTCCCTTTTTGCCTCGAGTCTTACAGAGGCCTGTGATATACAGAGAGCAAGAATCAATCTCATAACCACGTGGAATTCATCAGCTGCTCTCCCTCCAGGCTGCTCGATCGATACTCCCTCTACCTGCAGATTAGCAGGCAGCCGGAGCGGGTAATGACGGAGCTGTCATCTGCAGCCAGGCACAAAGGTGTGCACCTTCTCTGAGTGGAGTCACACACAAGCACATTGTTCTTTTTGCTCTCAGGAAAGAAAGAAACCTTTGCAGCTGTAAGACAAACGCTGGCTATTCTAACATCGTCAGGACTTCTACACTCCGACTGAACATGTGATGATGCACCAATGATGTCAGCGTACAACATGTTCACGACATGTTGTACGCTGACATCATTGGTGCAGCAGATTGAGCAGGAATCACAACATTTGTTAATTATGGTGTTTTCATTTTGTTGTGATTGAAATGTTGAATACGATTGTCAGCATTTTTGATACTTCAATCCTTTTTGACACCACATGTTTTAAACTATACATCCATCCATTATTGGTGACATTTATCCCATTCAGGGATGCGGTGGAGGCTAGAGCTGATCCCAGCTGTCATTGGTCGAGAGGCTGGGTACACACCTGGAGTGGTCGCCAGTCAATCTCATACAGAGACAGCCACACTCACATCCACACCTTCAAGCAATTAAGAGTCACTAATTAACCTGAGGAGCATGTCTTTGGACTGTAGGAGGCAGCCTGAGTATCGAGAGGGAACCTCAGCAAACACGGGGAGAACAAACTCCTCACAAAAAGGCGACCAGACTGTCGGGGAATCGAACCAGGTACCTTATGCTGTGAAGCAACAGGGCTGATCACTGCACCTCCGTGCAGCATGCATTAAAACGATACAATTTCCATTAATTTAATGAACGATTACTTTCAAAAATACCAAATCTTTTAATAACACTACTGATCTGAAAGATGTAGTTTTACACCTTGAAAAAGTATTTTCAAATAAACAGAACAATAACTTCCAACAGCTCGTAAGTCCCCTGTTTTCTGCACGATGTAACGTTGGCCTCTCCAAAGAAGTGCTGCCGAAAGCAAAAGATAAAGCGAGTCTTGAAATTATTTGGGAAATGTAGACAGTGTGCAGGTGTTTGCTTACAATTTTTGGTAATTAAACACAAGAAATTACTTCATATTTGATACCTTGGACTTCTATTTTTGTTGCCATGGTAATGAAACAGGTATCAATATATTTTCACTTTTTCTAGTATTGTATTGGAGTTAAAAGTTCTGGTATCATGACAACCCTGTGTAACAACAGCCTTAATATCCAGGGGATTTCAGAGTTGATTTGTCCATGTCACAGTTTAATTAGGGCACGCTCATCGAGATTATTGAAAAAATTGGTTATAATAAACATTGGTGTGAGATATCTGAGGTCGGCCTTTTTCTTTTGTCTTGACCTACAAATAATCAGACATGTTTCTAATTGCTTTTTGATCTTTGTAAAGTTCAATGCCATGAATTCATGAAACTTTCTAAAAACAAAAAGCATGCAGCAAACTTTGCTATTAGGCTTTGGTCTCCATGGGGTTCCCTCCATGTTTTCTTTATTAACAACATAGTTTGAAACCATGGAGGGGACCCTCTGGAGACCCAAGCCTTTCTGCATTCAACTTCTGATGCTTGACTTGCTGTCAGGAAACTGCTAAACATTTTAAAACTTTAAGGAGGGGAGGAAGAAAACAGCTCTCTAGTTAACTGCTAGCTTGTAGCTAAGCTAATCCAACTAATGTTATACTGCAAAAAACTCAAATGAGACGTACTAACTCATTTACATGTAGACATCTCTTCTCAACAAACTAAACAAATACAATTGGCTTTCTGCATTGGCAGATATTTTTACTTCTCACAAGCAATTCAGGCCATTTTCTGTGTGATGTGATTTGTATATCTTGATGTTTATCTGGACTGCAGCTCCTAGAATAAATCCATCATAAGGAAAATAGCCTAATAGACTTAATTAGACTAAAGTCTGGCTAACTGTGGACCTCATCAGTGTGACAGGCGGCTGCAGCCCCCCTGCTTCATGTACAAGTTGTTGATGCCTCGTGTCCTCACAGGGGGGCAGATGGTTGGAGAAAGCGTGGGCAGGAAGGGCCGTTAGGAGCAGGCACATGAAGCCGCCTGCTGAGGGGAGAAGCCAGAAAGTGGTTTAACTGACAGACGACCCACCATGAACAATATGTCAAAAAGACTCACTCTGAATATTTCTTTTAACCTGAGGAGAGTCTTCATAGACATGTATGCATGGAGGGTTCTTGAAGATATTTAAAGTCTCAAATAAATTTATAGGGTCTATCTTCAGATGTAGTCATCCGTCCTCAACCTGCACCACATTTCTTCTCCATAGTGCAGAGAACAACATAATGTATATTGTTATAGTGTAATATATTAAATGTTACATTGAAGGACGACAGTTTAAGATTTAGACATTTAATATTTAATTAATAAATGTGTTTTTGTCGATGTTATGACCCGGGAGCTCCCTGGTGTGCAGCTCTTTTTTGCTTCTTTATACCTTTTCCTTTTTGGATTCAGCACCCACAATTTCCACTAACTCCGTGCGCACAGTCTGCGCCGCGCACTACGCTGCTGTTTGCTGCCACTCTAATCAATCATTGTGTTTCCATAGCGAGCGACGCGGTCCGTCTCCGGAGCGTGCCACCAGCGCCCCTACACTCTGCTCGGTATAAAATATGCTGCAAGTCTATTTTTCGAAGGAGAAGCTGCAGGCGTCAAGCCGGACAGGAAGTCAGATAAGGAAACGCACGGAGCTACTGGTCAATTTCAAAATAAAAGACATCTCTCAATCGTATTTTTATCACTTTATCAACATTACGTCTAAACAGGCAACGAACGAACAACAAATCATCCTCAGAAAGACTAAGAAACATGTTGCTTGCATGTTTTTCTCTTTATTCCAATGTGATCTTGTAGTTCACCCTCTAACTCAAACTTCATAGCCACTGTAGGGTTTATTTTACGATGGGTGGCAGAGGGTAGTTGTTTTTTGGAGGTTGTAATCTCTAACCCCACCACTAGATGGCACTAAATCCAACACATTTGCGTCTTTAAACGTGTCGTTCAGTCACTCAAGGTAAGCTAGGAAAATCATAAACAATCTGAAGAGCCTGTGATTGTCTGCAGAAACTTCCTTCAACAGCACAACCGACAAGTAAGAGAGTGATAGAGTGAAAGGAGACTGTCTGATAATCACGCCCATCTTTGCCTCTGACAGAAAGAAACAGAAAATGGAACAGATCTAATCAGAATCCCTCCCTGAATAACACATCCAGTTCACGGTGACCTTTTACTGACAAAATCAAAATAAAGCTCTTCTGACAGTTTGAGTTTAAGAGTTGAGATTTCAAAACATTCCTACTTCCATGTCAGATACATCACATGCACAAGAGTGGGAGAGAAAGCATGTTACGTTTCTTTAAAGAATATATATCTGATAAATCAATGAAGTGCCCTCACTGAACTCGTAGGAGCTCATTTGCAGCTTCTTAACTTTTCTGCTCTTTTCTTTGAAATGTACTTTTTCAAGTGTTCTCGTAGTGATGGACAGGTGAGGAGAAAACGAGAACAGGCAGGTTCAGGAGGCTGATGGGAAAGTTCTCTCTCTCTCTAACCCTCCCTCTCTCTCTCTCTCTCTCTCTCTCTCTCTCTCTCTCTCTCTCTCTCTCTCTCTCTCTCCCTCTCTCGTCCGTCCTTGCCATTGATTTTCTCCCACAGTCTACATTAACATCTTGCCAGAACACCCACCCCTGCTGTTACCACTGACTGAGAAGCACGTTTGAATTACTGCCGTCTCCCAGTGATGCATGACACACACACACACACACACACACACACACACACACACACACACACACACACACACACACTCCGACACACACACACACACACACACACACTCCGACACACACACACACACACACTCCGACACACACTCACACACACACACACACACACACACACACACACCTTGACATGCATCACATCAAAAAGTGTGCAGAACAGAAATGTGTCACACATCAGATAATGATTTTAATATTCAGATAAAAACCTTCCTCATATGCACACACACACACACACACACACACACACACACACACA